AAAATTATTTTTTCCACAACTAATTAACGGCAAAAAAACGGCAAATTCATAGGTATATGCGACATTTTTTTCTTCATGTTGTTTCGCTAACTTTATACACATCAATATCATGGAATTGGTAAAATATGTGGGGTCCACAAATTAGCGGTATGTATCGATAATAAAATTAATGGATGCAATTATTTGTTGGCCGGAATTTACACACTGCCACACAATTTTTCAACATTGGTGGATTTCCTTAAGTCGCAGGGTGCATTGAAGAAACTATGATAAATATAGACGCTCCTAAGGCTACTGAGTACCAATTTGTAAACCGGTACGAAAATCATTCAGTTAATGCAATGTGGTGTTTGTGTTTTTGGTACTGAATTATTTTGTAAAGATCCAAATAAATATTCCTTAAATGAAGAAAAATATAGTTATTTATATAAACATACATATGATAGTCAAAACGGACTTACATTTTAACCGACTTCACAAAAAGAAGAAAGGTTACCAATTCGTCGGAATATTTTTTTTTATGTATGTTACCGCATAACTTTGGACCACGTTAACCGATTTTATGGAAAGGTGCTACCTCAGGGGTTTAGATCCGATAATTTGATCGTGAAAAAATTAACGATAACCTTAAGTTTTTATATAAGAATTGAAGTCGGTTTTGTTTTTTGCTTAAAAATTACTTGTTTGCTTAAAAATTACTTGTTTTCTTAATGATTTTTAAGACAGCCAATTTCTTGGCTTTGCTTTGTACGCGAGATACTATATCTAAGGAAAAAATCGAAATTGAAAATGTTTATCAAATCGCACATGGGCTTGCTAAGCTTTCGTTCTCTATTGGAAAAGCAAAAGAAGTTGGCTGTGCGATGGTTATCAAATCGACTTATCCAAAAAATCGTCAGTTACTCATTTTTTGATAAGTAAAAAGTGCAACTTTACTTTTCAATAAAAGGGCTTATCCAAAAATTGTAAAGTGATAAGTGATAAGTCAATGGTGTAATTGGGCCCTGGGTCCTATTGCACCAACGAATTATCATTAGCATTTTAGCAAATTTTCGAACTTGCGCAAAGTTTTGTGTTTCACCAACATGATAAGGAAAAGTCACTCGAATGAGTATTGATAAGTAAAATATCACTCAAAATCATA